AACTAGAATCTCTCTCTCTCTCTCTCTCTCTCTCTCTCTCTCTCTCTGCGCACACATGAAAGTTTGTCAACCAATCAACTGCCAATATCATGAAAGTTTGTCAACCAATCAACTGCCAATATCATGAATAATAGATGACCATATGTGAAATTCGTACGTGAAAATTTATTTTCTGAGAAGTAAGCTCTATCAATGACTATATGAGGAATACAAGTGGTACATCGTAACAGAAAACTCTTACAGCGGTGAGAGGTCCCAAACATTCAAAGCCCCTTCTTAACTCCCAGTCAAAATTATCAAAGAAAGAAAATGACCTTCCACCACTTCCACATTCTCCCACCTAGTTCAACGGTTCTAGTACCACTGCTAGTCTAGCCTCTTGCCACAGGATGGGACCTTCACTACAGATCCAAAAATTGATATTCAAGGAATCCCATCTCTACCAGTAGGGAATAAAAGACCCAAAAGATCCTAGAACAATGGAGAAGCACTTTAGATTCTTCCTACATGGAGAATACACACTAGTTCACCACACAATGTATTTTGTACAAATGTACATATACATGCATGTCATCATCATCTAAGCCTCATCCCAACTATTTGGGGTCGGCTATATAAATTTTGTTCCACCATTCTGCTCATAAGTCAAGGATTCATGACAAGATTTGGCAAAGTTTTACGCTGGATGCCCTACGTAACACAACCCTCCTCCTTTACCCGGACTTGGGACCGGCATGACCGGCTTGGAGCTGACCAAGGCAGAATTATATAAGGTGAATGAAAGTTACTATCCATAAAATTATTAAGACAGAATTACCCCTCTGGATGTACATGACAATAAGAAGCTAGAAATATTTCTTAGAAGAAACCCCGATACATTGCTCAAAACATGTGGCAAGTGTAAGTGCACATGTACTAATGTGTTTAATATGGGCGTGCTATTGATTTCTCTCCTCTTGTGATTTTATCCTATGTTTTAGTCTTCATTTTTCATGCATTCTCTAGTCATAGCATTCCCTTGGTTGCATTTCAAAAGCAAATTGACTCAAAGCTTTCTTCACTATTATCCATCTCTTTTTATTATCAGTTATCACCAGAATCACTCAATGAAAGGACAAAATTTCTAACACCAATTTTGAATAATCTTGGTAGGTTTATGCAGTAGGAAAGGGATCAGCAGGCCATATTAGGCCAATGCACAGCAAGCAAAACTGTGTCAGACAAAGACACCACGACTACTACGAGTCTCTTCAAATTCAAGGTATAATCCCATGAGAGACTTTGAGAAACGAAGTCAATTCTTGTCCTCCTAAACTTCAAGTTATCTCAAGTTATTTCTGGACTAATCAATCAAACTGATCCCGAAAGGCATGAAGGAAAATATAACAACGTAAAAATAAATTAACATCTTGAACAAGATTTCGAATGTCCAGTTGAAGTTGAACCGAAATTTGTTTTCTTGAAAGTATTCACCTTGCCAGAACCAACATGTTGACATGTTATTGTGAACAAAGGCTTACTAAAATGTAGTAGTTGGATGACATTGATAAAAGGATTCCCTAATCCCTAGAAATGATAATCCATCCCTCACAATATTGTCTAGAACTAAGAACTCCATAGGCCAACCCCCAATCGCTATTTTAAACAATCTTTGCTCATATAAAACCCCATTTTCAAGGACTCAGAATTGTATGATACCCTTCACCTCACAGTAATGACATTTTGAAGTCAATGCCGGAAATAGTCTCAATTAAATTAATAGGTCTGAAGTGCCAAATATTATCACCACCACTTTCTGAGAAATAAGAATAATACTCTTAGTTTACTGTGCTGGACCAGGAAGCGAAGTCATAAAATTAGCTTTCCACAAAATTACACATTATAGATTGGTCACTCACAAAAATTAAAAAGAGAAATTATTGACTCATTTAGTTCAGCACTAAATGTGGTTCTTACATATGTTTCTCACATTATATAGTGTCGAAGCACATGTGGTCCTTACATATCAGAAATATACTTGCTAATTTATTGTCGATATAGTGGAAGCCTGACAAATGCAGATGGGAAATATATATAGTTAGAATCATATATGATAGTGCATACATTATAGAATGCTTTGATGGTGAGCCTCATACTTTGCAAGGGGTTGATAACCGCTTTGATGACATAAACGTTTTACGAAGAATAAACCTTCCAGCAAGACTATCATATATATATATATGATAGTGCATACATTATAGAATGCTTTGATGGTGAGCCC